CAACCCGGGCATGTGCCCTGACCGGGAATCGAACCCTGATCGCCTGGATCCCAGGTTGACGCTCAACCACTGAGCCACGCCTGGCCGGGCACAATGGAATTTTAAACCATATCTATGAACTTCTAGTAAGGTCTCTATTAAATTAATATCCATTCAGATATCTTGTATGCTGAATGAATCTTTTTATTGTAAATAATTTTATAATATTATGCATTGGTCATTTGGAAAGTATTGGTTCACATTACTTTATACAGTATTAAAATTCACTGTTGTTAGTTAGCATCATATCACCACCAGTCTTCCCTGAAAGTCCCTTAAGTATTGAAAAGCTGTCAGGCTCACACAAAAAAGGTACAAGTTTTCCCCAGTCTTGATTTTTAGCTTGATAGCTTGAATTGCGTCACTGGTAGCAAATGTACAAGTTGTTTTCCTTGAAGTGACATGCTTACTTTTCAGTTTTGAGAGACTGACAGTTAAACTATCAAATAAAGATGTTATTCAATGAAAAAAGTCAGTTGTTCAGCTCACAACTAAGTCACAAGTGCTTTTCCTTAACAACCACTATTCGATATGCAGAAGTGCTTAATGCATACATCCCCCCTGTCAGATAGAAATAAGAATCAGCGTTTAATAACACCATCCTTACTGCTTTGTCAAGGATGTTCTCCAGTGAAGCAGAACTTGTTTTTCAACCAGTGGCCGTGAGGAATAGAGTGACTCCTAGCACAGGGCGGTGCCCCCTGCCTTGACGCAGGCTCAGAAGCCAGCTTTACTGACTTTTCTTTTATACAGTCATTGCAATGTCAGTGTAGACGCAGGCAATGCCTTAGGATTTCTCTAAAAACAGATTTGGCCTCACGTGTCTCCTGAAATTGGTCTAGGGGGGAACCCCAAAGGCCTGCAAAACACATTTGGGGAACCACTGTGTGGAAAATTAAACTTAAAAAAAATAGGACTGTTTTTTCTCGCCAGTGTGGCTCAGTTGGAACATCGCCCCAAGGTGGCAGGTTCCATTCCCAGTCAGGGCCCATGCCCAGGTTGTGGGTTCGGTTCCATCAGGCCACGTTCCTGGGTTTCAGGGTCGATCCCCAGTTCGGCGTGTGCAGGAGGCAGCCATTCGGTGTGCTGTTTTTTTCCTCTCAGTCTCTCCCTTCTCTAAAACCAAAAACTGGTCATTTTTAAATAAAAAGGCAAGTTTTTAACTCAAACTATTTAAAAGAGACAAGAAGAAACACATAATAATAATATAGGAAAATAACAAGAGAAGCGAAACTGGGAAACATGAGTCTCGTATTCACATGAATGGCCCGGCTCCTGCTCGGTGACGCGCTCCTGTGTGGCCCAGGGCGAGGCAGCAGGTCGCGTCTGTCTGGGTGACCAGCGTCGCCTGTCAGGGAGGGTCAGCGCCTGGAGGGGCAGCTCTGGCTGCTCACTGTGGAGAAGATTTCACAGAATTGGATGTGCTGGGTAAAAAGAGGCCAGAAACTTCTTACGGAATCTAAGAAGAATTAGTGGGACTCTGTTGAAGGTTAAACTTCTCCCTCCACCTCTCTCTCTACTCCCAGCAGATGTATTACTAAGATATCAACAGTTCCTCGATTTGTTTTTAAAATCCCTTCCTTATTTTATAGAGATGGAAATAGAACCAAGGACATTTTTGATGAAAGACTGCATCCACTGACAGTAAGTATCAGTTGTATTGAGGTGGTATTTTTTCTCATACAATTGTGTTTATTTCATGATGATTTACTTTGAAATTAATCACTAGAAGAAAATTACTCCCTCCAGCTTGACATCAAAATTATCTTCCTTTGGTTTTCTTCCTCACCCCATGTTGTATCTAATTATTTTACAAAGGGAATGTTGTATAGGAAATACGTCAGTAAGAACTGAGCTTCAGCTATGTACAGGTGGTGAGCTAAGGTGAGTAAACATGCCTTCCCCAGAAAAGTATATTGTTTTAAAAGATAGTTTTCGGTAACATCAAACAATATGAATATTTGTAAATAAACCTAACAGATATGTGAAGATTTCTATGAAGAAAATTAAACAACTATTTAAATTTTGAATTAATTAGAATGACTAAAAAATTTCCAGTTCCCATCTTCTGATGCCCTAGAGCAGTATGTGACTGCTGCCTGCTGTTTAGCATGGGGTCTTGTTACAGGAATCTGGAAACACATTTTCAGAGTTGGTTGCAGAGAGGTAGGACATGGCGATCAATAAGTCTTTTGAGCCTAAAGATATTTTACATTTACATAGACTTCTGTATGGGGAAGGTGGAAAGTAACGTTTCTGAGGTTGTGCCTGCATTTATCTTAAATGAGTGTTTGTATTGAATCACTGTTGTTTTTTTAAGGTCCCATTGTTTATATTTAAAAGACTAAAAGACATGTCACCCAATCAAAATTATTTTCAGGGGCACGTGGGCACAGGTAGGAGACGGCTCTCAGGAAAGCACTTTTTGTTTTTCTTCAGTGGATAGTGACATTGCATTTTTCCTCCTTTCAGCAGGAAGCGGTTCNCTTATGTTGCATTTTTCCTCCTTTCAGCAGGAAGCAGTTCCAGAGGAAAACTTTCATCATAATCCTGATCTCGAATCTATTTACAAGTTCATTTCGTCTTTTTTCAGTGCCCTAAAGCTAACAGCTGAATTTTTAATAACAACTTTGGTAAGGATTCTTTCAGAACTTCATTAAGGGAAACCTATCAAAGGAAGTGAAATACACACATTTATGCTTAATAATCATTATGATTTCAAATGTCCTTGCTTTTCTCATCCTGAAAAAATTGATGTCAGAGGCAGCAGGAGAGATTTCCCATTTCTCCCTCCACACCTCAGGAGACATGTGCACATGCAGTGCGCACATGTGCACACCTACAAGGTGTGCTGATGGGGCAGGATGTTGGCAATAACAGAACCTTGTGGGCCCCAGGCAGAAACTGATTCAGTGTAGGCCCAAGCTGAGTCCCAGGCTGTATTCCCCAGGCAGTCCTAATGTGTGTCCTGATTGGGAACTAAAGCCCTAAATTCTCTGTTCCTTGGATGATGGGTGTTCACCCATCCTTGCTGTCCTCTCGTGCCTGCCTGTGAAGTTGCCCAGGATTGGCGTGCAGTGGTGCCTGACAAGGCTTTGCTAGTTGCCTGCTAAGCTACAGCTGTGTGAGGACCTTTGTGTCATTCATACAGAATTCCTATGGTCCGATTTTATCATCTGGAATAGGTGGTCCTATTCTAGTGAGAAGTAATGGGATTGTACTAATTCCTGCTCCAGCAAACCTAAAGGGGAAAGCCTACTGCTTGGTCTGGAGGGAAAGATTCCTTAGGTCAGTGCCGCCTCCTTCAGTATTCAGTTCAAACCTTGGAGAGGCAGCCTGTGCTTCTGAATAGAGACCCCTGAATGGGCAATGGGTCAGACGCAGGCCTTTTCCTGGAGCCACCAGCCACTTGGAGTGCTTAGCACATGCTGGAGAAAGGCAGGAGTGGGGCTCCCATGAGGGGAGCAAGTGATACAGGAGGGAGAGCATCTGGGTGGGAGGAGGCGGGTCTTTTGTAGACAAGTTAAGCTCGATGCACCTGCAAGACAGCAGAGTGNTGACTTCTCTGTAGACGAGTTAAGCTCGATGCACCTACAAGACAGCAGAGTGGAGGTCTCTAGAAATCACTCGAATACATGGAATTAGAGCATGGATCTGAGCTAGAGGTAGGGATTTAATGTTAGCTGTTCAAATGTCAGAGAAAGCATGTGAATAAAACGTGTGTAGAAGATAGAACAGTGACATGAATAGGTATTCAGTGGACATTTATGGAATGAGCAACTTCTTGGCAGCATTTAGCATTTTGACCACACTCTCTCTCTTGAACCTCACTTATCTTGACTTCTTTTTATTATTTTCTCCCTTTGCCACTACTCCAAGCCAGTCCTGGGGCCTTCTCCATTTAGTGTGATAGTCCTTACAGATCTAAGTGCTGCGGATGAAGAGACCTCACTGAACTGGGAAGATGAGGAGCTCTGTCCTTACAGGCAGAGGGGACAAGTGCAAGATTCTGAGACGGGAATGTGTTTTTTGTGTTTTAGGAAAAGTGAGGTATGGCCATTGTGCTTAGTGAGTGGAATGAGGGAAAGAATGCAGGACATGAGGCCATAGAAGGGCAAGTCCTATAGGGCCTAGTAGCTTGCAGGCCATGGGAAGAAGTTACATTTTTATTTGTTTGAACGGAATCCTTTGGCAGATATTGAGCAGGGGAGAGAAGTGCTCTTAGTTAGAGGCCATCCTGGCTACTTTGGGGAGAAGAGACTGTAGCTGGGAGTCCGAGTGGAGGCCAAGAAGTCAGGAGGCAATAACAGTGACACAGGTGAGAAGTGACAAATAGAAGAGATAGCAGTGTGATTTCCAATGACAGGTGGAGATGACAAGAATTGCTAACCGATTGCAGCAGGGTAACTCAATTGGAAGTTTTTGGCTAAACACCTAGATAGGTGACACTGCCCTATATGATGTTAGGGAGTCCTTGGGGAGGGGGAATGAAGAGCTCTGGTTTGTATGCCAAAGGCAGCGATGGCCTTAGCAATAGTAGCTTCAGTAGAGTGTCAGTGCCAGGGGCAGACTAAAGTGGGTTGAGGAGAGAATGGGAGATGAGAAGCTGCATCAGGGCATTTACTGTGAGCAATGGGAGGAAGCCGTCTCAGGGTTTCAGGGGGTGGGAGGGGAACAACTTCACTGATAGAAGAGTTTCACTGAGAAGAGAAATCTCAATTCCACTGACACAGGGGGGCAAGTGGTATAAATGAATGAATAGTGCCTCATAGCACATCTGTCAGTGAAGGTGATGGGAAGTTGAGAGTTTGCCAGCTTTGTGTAAGTGCCTCTGATTACTCCCATAAAGTAGAAAGTTGAACCTTGTAAGGAGGTTCATTCTTAGAATACCTGACAGCGCTGAGTTTTGGGAGATTGGTGTAAACTTTCACTGACAACACATAATGTTCAATAGCCATTTGATTTTGAAAATATAGTTGAGTTTAAGAGCTTTGGAAAATCTGAGCTGTCAATCTGATCACCTCAGACAGTAAACATACTCTTTAAAGTGGGACTTTCTTCTTTTTGTCAGAGGGCACACATGCTCTTCTGAAAAGCATCCTTTGAGGTAACAAGTCACCACTTGCCTTTATAGCCTTTATTTAGCTGTTAACTCCACTCTGTTCTTTGTGGAATAGACATCGAATATGTGAAAGAAATCATGAAACCTCACCAGCTACCTGGCAGGTTTAGAGGAGGACCAGGGATAGACACTGGCAGCTCTGTTACCACCTGAAACCAATAGAATTGACTAAGCTTCTGGTTGTGTGAGACAGAGATGAATTTCATGAAATGATAATGGAGATGTGAAGCTTGGGGGATATAACAGGACTATTCTTTGTGTGCGTGTGTGTTTCTTACAAAGGCACTAAGTCCAGGAATACTTGACAGCTGCTCGGACCTGCCTCAGGCACTCCTGTCTGTCCTGCCTGTCCTGCTGCACCCACAGCCGCCACTGGGGGGCTCTCTTGATGACCAGGTTTTATCTTCTGCTTGTGCCACAAAAGGAGTAGTTACTGTGTAAAGAAGATACAAATGTGCTCAGTATTTCCAGGGATTTACATACTCAAGTGCTCTGGAAAATCGCCCCATAACTACCAGCCAGGTATGAAGCAGTGCACATGGCAGGCACTCAGGCATCTGCGCCGGGCCTGGGTGTGCTGCCCTTTACAAGTGGGATGGTAATAACATTCCTTCAGGAAGCCCTTTGCCAAGGTGTCCATTCATTCCTGTGACCGAAAAGTGGGCTGGGAATTCACATGGGCCAAGTAGGCAACAGAAGTATTTCATTTGCAGCTGTGACTTGGCCTCTGGCTTTGGCTGCCCGAGCAGCCTCTGTAGAACCTAAGAGTAAAAGGCGTGTCAAAAACAGATGAAATCTGTCATTCCTAACGGTTCTTACCGCAGCACTTAAACTGAACTAGAATCAAAGACCAGTGTTCTACTTTTGCAGATTTACTTAGAACGACTTACAGTTTATGCTGAGATCGACATTTGCCCCACGAACTGGAGGAGAATTGTTCTGGGAGCCATTCTTCTTGCTGCCAAGTATTTGCGCGACTGGGTTGTACGGAATTATCGCTTCTGCCAAATCCACCAGGGCATCACACTCAAGGACATGTGAGTTTGCAAGGTTTTGGTGNTGAAAAATGGGCTGGGAATTTACATGGGCCAAGTAGGCAAGAAAAGTATTTGATTTGCAGCTGTGACTTGGCCTCTGGCTTTGGCTGGCCAAGCAGCCTCTGTAGAACCTAAGAGTAAAAGGCGTGTCAAAAACAGATGAAATCTGTCATTCCTAACGGTTCTTACCGCAGCACTTAAACTGNAAAGAAATCTGTGATTCCTAACAATTCTTATCGCAGCACTTAAACTGAACTAGAATCAATGATGAGTGTTCTACTTCTGCAGATTTACTTAGAACGACTTACAGTTTATGCTGAGATCGACATTTGCCCCATGAACTGGAGAAGAATTGTTCTGGGAGCCATTCTTCTTGCTGCCAAGTATTTGAGAGACCGGGCTGTATGGAATTTGCACTTCTGCCAAATCCACCAGGGCATCACACTCAAGGACATGTGAGTTTGCAAGGTTTTGGTGAACTTTCTAACCATTTTCCAATACTTCATTTGCCCCCACAAAGTTTACATATTAAGAGATATTTTTAAAGGTTCCATTGTGCAGAGAACTGAATGAGGCATAAAATTACATTCATTTTTCTGTCCAGGTTTGCTATAATAATTCATATTCCTCACTAATCAGTTGTCCTTCTTGTGTTATTGTGGTAATAATCTCTGTGATAATTTGAAATGTATTTCTCTAGTAGTTATTGGCAAACATTTTACAAGCTCACATCCTAAAAAAACAGTGCTGTAAATATCTTCATGGCTTCAGCAAAAAAAATATTACTAAGAGAAATGTTCCAGATTTTACTGCCAGTTTTCTTCTAGGAGTTTTATGGTTTTGAATCTTACATTTAAGTTAATAATTCATTTTGAGTTTATTCTTGTATATGGTGTAAGAACATGGTCTCGTTTCATTTTTTGGAAGTATCTGTCCAATTTATCCAACACCATTGATTGAGTAGACTATCTTTACTCCATTGACTGATCTCTCCTCCTTTGTCAAATATTAATTGACCATATAGGTGTGGGTTTCTTTCTGGGCTTTCCATTCTGTTCCATCGATCTATAGGTTTGTTTTTATGTTGTTATCATACTGTTTTGATTACTATAGGCTTGTAGGATAGTTTGAAATCAGGTTGCATGATACCTCCAACCTTGTTTGTTTTTCTCTCAATTGCTGTGACTATTCAGCATCTTTCGTGGTTCCGTATAAAATTTTGGATTATTCTACTTCTGTAAAATACACCTTTGGTATCATGGTAGGAATTTCATTGAATCTATAGATTGCTTTGTGTAGTACGGACATTTTAAAGATGTTAATTCTTCCTATCCATGAGCATGGCGTATGCTTCCATTTATTTGTATGTCCTTCCGCTTCTTTCTTCAGTGTCTTGTAATTTTCCAAGTACAGGTCTTTTACATCCTTGGTTACATTTTTTCTTAGGTATGTTTTGATGCAGTTATATGTGGGATTGTTTTTTAGTTTGCCTTTCTGATAGTTCATTATTGGTATATAAAAGTACAACTGATTTCTGGATATTTATCTCATGTTGATACTTTACTGAATTCATTTGTCAGTTCTAGTAGTTTTTTGTGGAATCTTTAGGGTTCTCTATACACAGTAACATGTCATCAGCATATAATGACAGTTTTACTTCTTCCTTTCCAATTTGGTTGCCTTTTACTTTTTCTTACTGTCTGATGGCTGTGGCTAGGACTTCCAGTACTATGTTGAATAATAGTGGTGAAGGTGGACATCCCTGTCCTGTTCCTGATCTTAAGGAAATTCTTGCATTTTTTCTTCATTGAGTATGATGTTTGCTATGTGTTTGTCATATGTGGCCTTTATTATGTTGTGATATGTTCCATCTGTTCTTACTTTGCTGAGAGTTTTTCTCAGAAATGTGTTATGGATTTTTTTTCTACATCTCTTGATACGACCATATAGTTTTATCTTTCATTTTGTTCATGTTTATGTGTGTCATGTAAATTGATTTGCGGCTGTTGGACCAACCTTGTATCCCAGGAATAAAGTTTAGTTAATTATCGCGTATGACCTTTTTAATGTATTGCTGAATTCAGTTTGCTAATTTTTGTTGAAGATTTCTGTATCTATATTCATCAGGGATAGTATAGCATAATTTTCTTTCTTTTTAGTGTATTTATCTGGTTTTGGAATTAGGATAATGTTGGCCTCATAAAATAAGCTTGGGAGTTTTCCATCCTCTTGAATTTTTTGGAATAGTTTGAGAAGGATTGGTGTCAGTTCTTCTTTGAATATCTGGTAAAATTTACCTGTGACATGTCCAGAACTTTTGTTTGTTGGAAGTTTTGTTTTTGTTTTTTAATTCTTACAGCTTCTATTTCATTAGCTGTAATCAGTCTATTCAGATTTTCTGTTTCTTTTTTGTACAGCTTTAGAAGGTTGTATATTTCTACGAATTTATCTATCTCTTCTAGATTATCTAATTTCTTGGAATATATTTGTTCATAATCTTTTCTTATAATCTTTTGTATGTCTTTGGTGTCAGTTGTTCCTACTCTTTCATTTCTGCTTTTATTTATTTGAGTCCTCTTTCTCTTAATGAATCTGGTTAAAGGTTTATCAATCTTGCTTATTTTTTCAAAGAACCGGATCTTGGTTTATTGATCTTTTGTATTATTTTTTAAATTTTTATTTTGTTTATTTCCAGTATGGTCTTATTATTTTCTTCCTACTTCTCAATTGGGCATTGTTTGTTGTTCTTTTTCTCATTCCTTTAGGCATAATATTAGATAATTTATTAGAACGTTTTCTGATTTCTTGAGGAAAACTGGTTTATGAATTTCCATCTTAAGATAGGTTTTGGTGTATTTAATAGATGTTGGGTTGTTGTGTTTTCATTTTCATTTGTCTCAAGGTACCTTTCATTTTCTTTTTTGATCTAATTGTTAACCCATTGATTGTTTAGTTAAATGCTACTTAATTTTTAAAAATCTTCACCTAAGGATATGTTTTCATTGATTTTTAGAGAGAGAGAGGGAGAGAGAAACATTCGTCAGTTTTCTCCCATACGTTCCCACACTGGGGATCGAACCTACAACCAAGGTATGTGTCCTGATAGGGAATCAAACCCTCACCCTTTTGGTGTATGGGACCATACTCCAACCAAATGAGCAACCCAGCCAGTGGAGTTGGATGTTATTCAGCCTCCCTGTGTTTGTGTGTTTTTCAGTTTATTTTGTAATTAACTTATTAACTTTTAGTATTATACACTAAAAGTTAATCAGAGAAGATGCTTGATATGATTTCAGTTTCCATAAATTTTTGAAACTTGTTTTGTGTTCTAACATATGGTTTATTGTAGAAAATATTTTCTGTGCACTTGAAGTATATATTCTGCTTCTTTGAAGATAATTGCTCTGAAAATATCAATTCAATACGTATGGTGTAGTGTGTCATTTAAGATGAGTGTCTCCTTGTTGATTTTCTTTCTGGAAGCTCTATGCGTTTATGTCAATTGGGGTGTTAAAATCTCTTCCTGTGACTGGGTTACTGTGGATTCTCCCTTTATGTCCGTCAAGATCTGCTTTATGTATTTAGGTGCTACTGTGTTTGTGCATAAATGTTTAAAAGGGTTATATCCTCTTGTTGGATTGATCCCTTTATCACAATGTAGTGTCCCTTTTATCTCTTATTATAGCCTTTGTTTTGAAGTCTATTTTGTCAGATATAAGTATTGCTACCCCAGCTTCTTTCCCCATGTGCATGAACTATCTTTTACCATCCATTTACTGTCAGTCTCCATGTTTCTTTCATTCCTAGCTGGGTCTCATGTAGGCAGCATATATATAAGTCTTGTATTCTTGTTTAATCAGCTCCCCTTTGTCTTTTGATTTGAGCATTCAAGTCATTTATATTTAAAGTGATTATTGATGGATATGTTTTTAATACCATTTCATTTCTTATAACTATGTGGTTGTTTTTTCTTTCATATTCGTAAAGAAGATCCTTTTCTTATAATTCTGTTTTGGTATTAATGAACTCCTTTAGCTTTTTCTTGTCTCAGAAGTTCTTTATTTCTTTTTCAATTTTCAATGATAGTCATGGTGGGCAAAGTAATCTTGATTGTAGTCCTCCCTTTTCATCACTTTCAATATGTCCTGCCTGTGCCTCTGGCCTGAAATGTTTGTTGAGAAATCAGTTACCGTGATCACTTCCTAGAGATTAGTGTAGCTGCTGCACAAGGATGACCAGCAAATTTGTGCAGCGTTTCATATTTTTAGACAGTGAAGCATGCAACAGACGATGTATATCAGAGGTAAAGGGTGACTTGGGAAGAGATTAAGCAAAGAACTTAGAGGCATATATGCACAACCTATGGACGCTGAAAATAGTGCAATAAAAGCCTGGGGACAGGGTGGGAGTAGGGTGGAAGGGGTCTTAGCGAGGGGAAGGAGACATCCGTATTAGTTTCAACAATAAAGAAAATTAAAAGATAAAACCGAAGGCTTTAACAGTAAAAAAAAAAAACAACAACCAGTTACAGTCTTTTGGGAGCTCCCTTTTAGGTAACTAATTGCTTTTCTCTTGCTGCTTTGAAGATTCTCTGTCTTTAATCTTTGCCACTTTAATTATGATTTATCTTGGTGTGGGCCTCTTTGGGCTCATTTTATTTTGGACTTTTTGCACTTCCTGAACTTCTGTGTCTGTTTCCTTCACCAGGTTATGGAAATTTTCCGTCATTATTTCTTCAAATCAGCTCTTAATTACTTGCTCACATGCTCTCTCTTTTTTCCTTCTGGAATCCCTATGATTCTGATATTGTTATACCTCATGTTGTTTCAGATGTCCCTTAAAGTATCCTCATTTTTTACAATTTTGTTTTCTTCTGCCTTTTTTCCAAATCACTGATTTAGTCCTCTGCCTCATCTAACCTATTGTTTATTCTTTGAAGTGTATTCCTCATTTCAGATATTGTATTCTTCTCTTTTGACTGGATTTTTTGTTGTTGTTAT